AATGATCATGACTCCAAGATAATTACATGAGTGGAAATGCCTTTTCCATTTTTATCTCTATGATTTGTCTTTATCGTATTGCTATGATCTGACTGATAAACAAAAAAGTTGCTTGTATACAAAGTTTTCAGTTGATTGCAGAAGACAAATTTAATTTTTTGAAGGTATACTCCTAAGCAGAAGAAATAAAACCATGGTGTGGAAACCCCAAACCAAACCGCAGGAGAATAGGGAGGCTGTCAAAGCTGTCATTCCACGTATTGACGGGCTTCAGAGAACCTTTAGGAGAAGAAAACGTCCCATGTTAATTGCTAAGCTGTTTTCAAGGGCCACCTGCTTTCTCCAGAACATGCTTGGCTATCCTTCAAACACTCAACAGGACCAAATCAGGGAGTTTTACACAGGCTATACATACTCCCCCCACTTCCCTAAAAAGACAGCCCATGTCTTTGGCATAATTATATGGTACACATAATAGAGGTTTTGTTAACTACCAGTTCTTTTTGCAAAGCTTATCAAGTATCAGAGACAGCATAATGCTGTAACTGCATCTATGTAACATTTAGACAATGAGTTCTAAAGGTCAAGGTACATAATACATATCCAATATATTTATCTGATGAGCTGAACATTTTTAATATGATGTGAAATGAAATAAGCACAGAACAAATTTCTCTTAAAAGATATTAACTTCTTTACCTACTACCAAATGCCAAAATATTATTTATTCTCAAAGAATTTTTTAATTAATTGCTTATTTACAATTTTACCTATTGAAATAACAAAATAATGTGACTTAGCATATATTACACTTGGCTTAACTTTTAGTCGGCAATAAGTGGTACAAAAATCTTAGTAATGTTTTGCTATTGATTGATATGAAACTAAAAACTCTGTTGACATTAATCAAACACAAGTTGCTTAGTCATATAAATAAATGATCTCTTTAACCTTAGAGGGTCCCAGGGCTCAGTCCTTGGTTCTATGGGTTTTCTTCCAGGTTCTTGTTTTTAAATCCCCACTGTAGTTCAGTGATTGTCAAATATATGTCTTCAATGCAGCCCTCACTCTTGAAGTTAGGACTCATATCCAGTCGCCCACTTGGAAGTCTACTAGTCATCTCAAAGTCAGTAGCTCCCAAACTGAGGTCATGATTTTATCTCACCAAATCTCTCCCACCTACAGCACTCTCTATCCCAGTTGATGGCAGTTCCATCCTTCCAGTAGTTCAGATTTTTAAAAATCTGTGAATTTGTACTCCTTTTTTCACTTACGTCATCCAATTCACCAGCAAATCATGTTGCTTCATGCTATCCAGAATACAACCTTTTCTTAACTTCCTCTACTATTGCTACCCTGGTCCAAGCTACTAAAATCTCTTTATTTAATTATTTCAACAGCCTTTCAACTGGTTTTCCTATTTCTACTTTTGATCCTCTAAGCCTATTTTCACCTCAACAGTCAAAGGAATCCTTTCAAATATGTCAGATCAAATATGTCAGATTCATGATTCTCAACTTATTCTTAAAATAAAATAGCCAGGCTCGGTGGCTCAGCCTGTAATCCCACGCCTTTGGGAGGCTGAGGTGAGTGGATTGCCTGAGCCTGCGGGTTCGAGACCCACCTGGGCAACTTGGCGAGACCTCATCCCTACAATAAATCAAAAAATTAGCCGGGTGTGGTAGCGCGCGCCTGTAATTCTGGCTACTCAGAAGGCTGAGGCTGAAGGATCGTCGGAGCCCAGCAGATCGAGGCTGCAGTGGCCGGGAGCGGCCACTGGACTCCAGTCTGGGCGACAGAGTGAGACTCCAACTCAAAAAAATAAAAAATAAAAAATAGCCGGATTCGGTGGCTCAGCCTGTAATCCCACGCCTTTGGGAGGCTGAGGTGAGTGGATTGCCTGAGCCCGTGGGTTCGAGACCCGCCTGGGCAGTGAGACCTCATCTCTACAATAAATCAAAAAATCAGCTGGGCGTGGTAGCACATGCCTGTAATTCCGGCTACTTGGAAGGCTGAGGTGGAAGGATCGCCGGAGCCCAGCAGGTCGAGGCTGGGCCACTGCACTCCAGTCTGGGCAACAGCGTGAGACTCCAACTCAAAAAATAAAAAATAAAATAAATAAAATAAAATACAAGGGTCTAATGTGATAAGGTTATACATTATACAAAAGTTATAGCATTTTTACACGATAATGTGGTAAAATACAATGACTCTGTGTGATAAAGCTTCTAACCTCCTCTCTGTCTCACTTGATTCCAGTCACATTGGTCTCTTTGCTGTTCTTCAAACAAGTCCGGCAAGTTCTCATTAAGGTATTGGCACTGCTGTGACTTCTGCACAAAATTATCTTGCCCCAGATCCCTATGTGGCTGACTCCCTCATCTCTTTCAAGCCTTTGCTCAAACGTCGATCTTAACAATGAAGCCTACTCTAACCATCCTGTTCAAAATTGCAACTCACAGCACCTCTCCTCATACACCTGACATCAAAGATACTGTGCTCTGTTTTCTCCTCTGTCACCTCCTACACATGATACACTTTATTATTACATTTATTGTTTATTTTCTGTCTCACAGAGACAAACTGTAAGGACCACGAAGACAGAGAGATTTCCCTGCTTTGTTCACTGCTGTATCCTGAGAACCTAGAACAGTACTCAACACGATAAATACTCGTTAGATGAATGCAATGCCTTTCTTAACTTGTTTGTCCAAGGAGTATCACTCGTGTTTTATTATAAGAAAAATGAAACAGCAAAGAGAAGGGACGACCCATTTGACTGCAAAATAGTAACACATTACAATAATAAATTCAACCAAATGAATTCTAAATTTTCAAATACCAACAATTTTAGTTAATGATATATTTGTCGGAAAAAAAAATTCTAAAACTTAGAAATAGGAAAAAGAAATGGGTATTATTTCTGTGCAATGCTGATTTGACTTTAATATTTCCTCCATTATTTTCCAATTCTATAGGGACAGAGGTTAACATATAGGTGTTTTGTTAAGTAAATATGCAAACAATTTCTGTCCAGTAGAAAAGATGACCACAAAGACTTCTGGTTCTGTTACACATTAACTAATTTTGGATCTAACCTAGCAACCCTAATTTCTGTTAGGCACCTAGCTTCTCAAAGCTCTTTGGATTAATGTAACATAGGACTGGTTCCCGGTAACTTATGAAATAAGGAAAATATTTTAGCCAGGCATGGTAGCGTGCTCCTGTAGTTCCGGCTACTCGGAAGGCTGAGGCAGGAGGATCGCCGGAGCCCAGCAGGTGGAGGCTGCGGTGGCCGGAAGTGTGCCACTGCACTCCAGTCTGGGCGACAGACTCAGACTCCAACTCAAAAAAAAAACGGGCTACAGTAATCAAAACAGTCTGGCATTGGTACAAGAACAGACATACAGACCAATGAAACAGGATAGAGATTCTGGAAGCAAAACCTTAATTTCTCAACCAACTCATCTTCAACAAAGCCTTTACCATCAACCACTGGGAAGAGGAGAACCTATTCAGTAAATGGTGCTGAGAAAACTGACTGACCACATGCAGAAGATTAAAACACCTGTCACCATACACAAAAATCAACTCTAAATGGATCAAAGACCTAAACGTAAAACCTCAAACTATAAGAACCTTAGTTGGGCCAGGCACAGTGGCTCAATTCTATGATCCCAGCATTTTGGGAGACCGAGATGAGAGGATTGCCTGAGCTCGCAGGTTCGAGACCAGCCTGGACAGCATGGTGAGACCTCATCTCTACAATAAATCAAAAAATTAGCTACGTGTAGTAGTGCACACCTATAGTTCTGGCAACTTGGAAGGCTGAGGCTGAAGGATCGCCTGAGCCCAGCAGTTGGAGGCTGCTGTGGCCAGGAGTGTGCCACTGCTCGCCAGCCTGGGTGACAGGTGAGACTCTGTAACAAAAAAAAAAAAAAAA